GAGAGAGAGAGAGAGAGAGAGAGAAAGAGAGAGAGAGAGAGAGAGGCAGAGACACAGGCAGAGGGAGAAGCAGGCTCCATGCACCGGGAGCCCGACGTGGGATTTGATCCCAGGTCTCCAGGATCGCGCCCTGGGCCAAAGGCAGGTGCCAAACTGCTGCGCCACCCAGGGATCCCCCTAGTTACCTTTTTAACTCCCATTTGTTTTGGTCTCTGTCACTGGCATTTGAGATTTTACATCTAAGGTTTGATGATCCAGAAACAATTTGTCTTACTCAGACTAAGTGAAGGTTCAACAAAGTGCCTGAAAGGTTTGAGTGTATAGATGGGCTTCTTGTTTTTCAACTTCCCTGTACAGTGATCTAGGTGGAATCCCTGATGTTGCTACCTCTGGGTCTTTCCCCTTGGCTGGTAAATTTCCTCAGAGAAGACTTTCCCAATCTCCTGCCTGAAAGGGAAGGTCTGACTGCCAGCATTCTGGGAATTATTGAAAAGAGAGTGCTTGAGTAACTTTCCATTCATCCTTTAGGAAGGAGTCACTCAATCCTGTTTCTGGTAAAATATCCATGTCTGTGTCCCCCATTTGGACATAACTGGTTTTCCTCTCTCTAAAAGAATATCAGTCCACTGCCAGGGAAGGGATGAAGCAGTCACCCAGTGAAAGAGAGCAGTAGACATGATTCAGAGATTTTCAGATATGCTTTCTCACTTATGTACCTTCCCTCTTCTGAAGATACCCGGCACTGCCAATTTCTGAGACTTTTGAGGAATTTGTGGTATAAATCAGGTTGATTTTCATTTCTCCATTGCTAACTAAGAATTTAGCTTTTTTAGGTATATTAAGTTCATTACCACTTCTCCATCTGCTTTCTGGCTTTCAAAATGTTGTTTGTGTCTCCTTCCTCTCTGTTGTCTCTGTCCTTATATGTTCATGCTTAAAAAAAAATTCCTTGATTATAGTTTTAGTGGAATTTTAAAGATAGCAAAAATCTGTCACCTTAACTGAAAACCCACATCTGCTAAAGCCCTTTGGAAACTAAAAATGTGTTAGTTTATTTAACCATTGCATTGTATGTTATTGTCTTATTATGAACAGAAAGGAAAAATAGGAACTGTATCTTCTTTGGTTAAGACTGGTAATATAAGAACTCTTGCTAGAAGGCTTAAAATTTACAATTAATATTTTTTTAGCTATTAAAATCTAGGATAAGCTGATAGGATGATCTGCATTCATAACAAGGTATACTCATTATATAGTCAGTTACAGAAAAATGTGAGCCAAGTTAAAAAAAAAAAGTGAGCCTAGTATTTTGGAATAGATAGACGTCAAGGTCATGCTTACAGAATTAACACTGTAAAGCAATAGGAACATACTGCCTCTTACCTGACTATTCCCCAGACTATAGAACTACTCCAATTTGATAATGTTCTCTCTATGGTCACTTCTTGTCTTTATCAATACTGGCACTTCACTGCCTCATCACTGTTTCTTTCTTTTTTTAAGATTTTATTTATTTATTTCACAGAGAGAGAAACACAAACAGGGGAACAAGAGAGGGAAAGCAGGTTCCCCACTGAGCAGGGAGCCCGGCTAAATCCCAGAACCTTGGGATCATGACCTGAGTGGAAGGCAGATGCTTAACCAACTAAGCCACCCAGTCACCCCTCCATCATTGTTTCTGGTGTTTTTTTTTTAAGATTTTATTTATTTATTCATGAGAGACACACAGAGAGAGGCAGAGACACAAGCAGAGGGAGAAGCAGGCTCCCTGTGGGAATCGTGATGTGGCACTGCATCCCAGGACCCCAGGATCATGACCTAAGCCAAAGGCAGACCCTCAACCACTGAGCCACCCAGGTGCTTCCCCCCTCCATCACTGTTTCTAAAAACAATTTTTTTAAAAGACTTTATTTATTTATTCATGATAGACTTAGAGAGAGAGAGAGAGAGAGAGAGAGAGAGAGAGAGAGAGGCAGAGACACAGGCAGAGGGAGAAGCAGGCTCCATGCCAGGAGCCCAATGCGGGACTTGATCCTGGGACTCCAGGATTGCGTCCTGGGCCAAAGGCAGGTGCTAAACAGCTGAGCCACCAAGGGATCCCCCTAAAAACAATTTCTAATACTGTCTTTTGTTGCCTCTATTTATAGCAAAAGCTTTTCCCCTTTTGTTATTCTTTTATTATTCTTTGACTATTTTTCCTTTCCTGTTTGTTTTTGATTTTAAAGATTTTATTTAATTATTTGATATCTGATACACAGAGAGATATAGAGCATTAAGTGGGGGAAGGACCAGAGGGAGAAAAAGACTTCCCACTGAGCAAGGAGCCCAACACGGGACTTGATCCCAGGACCCTGAGATCATGACCTGAGACAAAAGCAGACGCTTAACCAACTGAGCCACCTAGGTACCTCAACATTTCAGTTTTTTTTTTTTTTAAGATTTTATTTATTTATTCATGAGACACAGAGATAGAGAGAGAGAGAGAGAGAGGCAGAGACACAGGCAGAGGGAGAAGTAGGCTCCATGCAGGGAGCCTGACATGGGACTTGATCCCAGGTCTCCAGGATCAGGCCCTGGGCCGAAGGCGGCGCTGAACCGCTGAGCCACCCAGGCTACCCATCATTTCAGTTTTGATGAGAAAGATTTGGCTTCTCTCTCTTCCAGAATGTAAACCTACCAATATATATGACTATGTGTAATCATTCTTTCATTTTTTGCATTTAACAGATATGTATTGAGTACCTATTATAGGCCAGGCCCTGTTCTAACCATTAGGGATAAAACAATGAACAAACAAAGCCCCTCATCTCATATAAACTGTATGCCAGTAGGGGTGACAGACAATAAACAACTATATCACAAAGAGCTGGGTCTTAAAAAAAAAAAAAAAAGGAGAGGGATGTGGAAAATGACATAGTTAGGGTAGGAACATTAGTTATATAAGTGATGACAGAAGGCTTCTTTTATTTTTTCAAGCCCCACTGTGGGGCTTGAGTTCATGACTCTGAGGTTAAGACCTGAGCTGAGATCAAAAGCCAGACACTTAACCAACTGAGCCATCTAGATGCTTTGAGAAGGCTTGTTTTAAAATGTGCCATTTGAACAGAGACATAAGGAAGATGCTCTATGGATATTTCTGGACTAAGTATCTCAAAGAGAAAAAGAACACTACAAAGGCTATGAGGAGGGAGCAGGCTTGACTTGGTGAAGAAACAGCAAAGAAACTGGTGGGATGGGAGCAGAATAAGCTTTTTCCCTATTAATGTTTACTATTTTTGCCATGGTTTATTTTCTTTTTTTTAATTTTTTTTTGCAGGTGGGATAATCAGACACAGATGACATCTGCCCCACCTCTTTCGAGACACAGCTCTCCCCTCCACCCCAAGTCAGCCAGCCATCACCCTGACCCAGAAATCCACAGGCACCACAGCAGGCAAGCCCTCCAGACCCAGGTTCTCGCTCTATTTTGCAAAGCCCCTCCCGTGCTTCGCTGTGACAACAAAATGACAAGAAACCAGAAAAGGGAAAGGGGTCATAGGGCAGAAAAACCCCATCCGGCAGCTCTGCCACCAATGGGCCCTAAGCTCTCAGGCAAGACCCAGAATGCTTGGGACTCAGTCTCCTCAACTGCAAATGGTGAGAAGACTTCCCTCACAGAGCCATAGTTTATTTTCTATAAGAGTTTACTATACCTTTCAGATTTGAACAGATTCAGATTCAGATTCTAACTTATATTAAAGGCTGAGATTGTTTTAAGTCTAGTGGATAAATGGAAATGTTACTGAATAGGTATCATTTGCTGCAATAAGCATTTTGGCTGAACACAGGCTTGTAAACAATCTAAATTACACATATACTGTCCTGTTTGGAGACAGAGAGGGTGATAGTTTAGTGGGAAGATACAAGAGCCAGATTTTATTTTGAGTCCTGGTTCTATGCTTACTTGCTTATTTGCTTTAACTGATCTTAAGTCAGACCTTTAGGTGTCAAATACATAGGTATACTTTTACCCTTTTATTCTATTATTTTTATTTTTTAATTCTAATTTTAAAATGTAAGAGTAGCATAGTGAATATGGGGAAAGAATAATGCCTTGGACTCACATTCTGAGTTCGATACTTTTGCTGTGCTTATTAAATGTGCAGTCTTAGTCATTTAAAATTCTGTTTCCTTATCTATAAAAGCAAATAAAAATATGTACTTTATAAAAGCATTACAAAGATTAAATGACATAATCATCTATGCATGTAAGCTACGTGTATACTATAAAACGTAAATCTAATATACATTCATATTTTTAAACTACCCATAGAGCTTTCAAACTTGTATTTCACTCACTTAAAATTTTTCATCTAAGTGCTTTCAAAGTTTATTAAGTTTTACTTCTTGGTTCATTTCTGCATTTGTACCTAAGAGTTGTATGCAAAATTTATCCTTCCCAATCGGTTCCCTATTTTGACTGACAATAAATTCTACTCAAGTAATCTTTGAGCTTTTTAATTATATAGCAAAATTCAATGGATATGAAAAACTCAGCTTGAAACCCACCAAAAAGATCAGAATGCAGATTTTCCATTTAACTTTATTTCATTCAGATGACCATTTTGTAATAAAAAATATGGGTACATGGAGAAAATAATCTGAAAGGATAACTTAACAATCATTTTGTACACTTCAGTAACTGTTAATGACTTTTCAATAGGGTTTTTTTTTTTTTTTGCCTGTTTTGTTTTCTGAACCTTCACTGTTAAATCACTGCTTGCTAAAAAAATTTGTAGTCACGCATTTGCTATTAAGTACTTGATATATGTTTTTGAAGACTATACTAGAGAGATATTATTTCCTAATATCATACTGCTAGCCATTAGTTAAAATGTGTCCATATGTTACTAGACAAATAATTTTAAAAAGCAACCCAAAAGAATATTAGCTAAACCTTTAAAATACCATCAGTGGTCTTCAAAAATAATTTATAAGAGATTTAACTGAATGGAACTTACTCCATGCCCTGTGCAGTCTGCCGTGCAATATCTATAAGCTTTATCATCTCAAATTTGGTCTCAATGATGTGGAGATGGTGATATAAGCTGGAGCCCTCACACCACTGGGTAACAATAGCCAGTTGGGGCTTTGTTGAATAGCCCATAAAGAGTAGGATATTCACATGTCGAGTTTTCCTGTAAAAAGAAGAATGTCGGTAAATAGTAAAGGTCAATAAACTTCAGCACATCTTTAAAAAGTGGGCCAAAGCTGACTAATTATCAGTTTAAGACACTGTTAGAAAAAAGTATTTTTAAAAAGACAATGGAGGGACGCGTGGGTGGCTCAGTTGGTTAAGCTACCTACTCTTGGTTTTAGCTCACATCATAATCTCAAGGTGTTGAGATGGAGCCTTGTCTCCCGCTCTGTGCTCAGTGGGCTCCATGCCCAGCAGGGAGTCTGTTTGAGATTCTCACCCTCTGCCTTTCCTCCCACTCATGTCTGCATGTTTGTGTACTCCCTCTCCCTCTAAGATAAATAAATAAATAAATCATAAAAAAAAAAGAGAATGGAAAGATAAATTTAGAAATGATTTTAGGAATTGTATGGTCTAACATCCTACCCCTTTCAGAAAGGTCTTACATTTTAATACACCTCACAGATAGGCAACTGGAGGTTGCTTAAATACCTTCAATTATGCGAAGCTCATCATTGAGATGTAGCTTATTTCCCTCACTCCACCCCCACCCCCCCACACTCTTTTTTTTTTTGTCTCTTAAGTGGTTCTAGTCTTAGAAAGTGCTTTGGGGTTGAGAAAAAAATCATTTCCCCTCCACTTCCACCACTGGCTTTCCTGCTCTGCTTTCTGGAATAAAACAAAGTTTGTACCCTCTTGAACATAATGGCCTTCAATGGGCCCAAATATCCTCGGTTCTGTTGACTTTTATCCTCCTAAGTTATAGTTTCAGAATAGTTTCAGAATTCTCCTCATCTAAGTTGTCCTTGCCTGGATATACTCTAGTTTGTTAATATTCCTCAACTTTCAGGGTTTGATGCAGTCTTTAAATGTGTTCTGGTAAGGTTAGAATTTTGAGAGTATTATTTTACTAAGTGGTGGTATGATTTCCCATGATCAGAATACTATATTTCTATTAATTCATTCTAGGATTAATTTTGCCATCAGTTATACCAATATATATGTGTATATACACTATACACACACACACACACCTATATGCACACACACACTACAGTATTGCATACCACTTACAGAATATGGTTAAAGACAAAATATACTCATACAAGCTTTGTTTTATCCATTTTCAGTAAATCTGTAAAGCCACCAGCAGCTATCATTGGGAAAAAGAAGATAATTTCTCTGAAAAACAGTAATTCACACAGGCTCACCTGAGTACTCCTACTTCATTTTTGAAGGCCTGTAACTGCTGAGGTGTGGGTGCTGTCACATTCAACATTTTCACTGCCACGTCACCTAAAAAAAATTGTCATTCCAAATGTCATTTCAATATTTTAAACTTTAAAGTACAAATAAATGATATCTTAACTTCCTAAATTGCATTAATTTTTTAAGGATAAAAACTAAACAATGATACTCCTATACTAGTATTTCAAAACACCAATTCAAAAAAATACCCAACATTGTTTTTCCTGTGGAAATTTAGTTTAACTAATTACATTCCCATGGTATTTTCTTGGTTATTTAACAATATTAAACTAGATAATTTTACTAACTGAATGTTAAATTTACCAATGACAGACCCAGTGAAACTTGGCTGAAAGAGAAAACTGCAAAATTTCATCAGAGAAAGAAAAAATATGTTAAGTGAGTACTTAACATATTTTTCAAATCCATGGATCACCTGCTTTTGCTTAGGAAAATTATTATTATTAATTTTAAAGATTTTATTTATTTATTCATGAGAGACACAGGGAGAGAGAGAGAGGCAGAGACACAGGCAGAGGGAGAAGCAGGCTCCATGCAGGGAGCCTGATGTGGGACTCGATCCCTGGACTCCAGGATCATGCGTTGGGCTGAAGGCAGGCACTAAACTGCTGAGCCACCCAGGGATCCCCTGGAAAATTACTTAAATTATAATTTAAAACCCCAACAATTTTCATGTGAAACAGGCAGAACTCTTCCACATCGCTAGTAGATGTGTAAAATGGTACAACCAGTTGAAACACTTTTGGCAGCAATTACTAAAACTGAACATATGTAAATCCAGTGGTCCCACAATTCTTTCCTTGACATACACCCAGCAAATCTGAAACATATGTTCACCAAACAACATGTACTAAGAATATTCATAGCAGCAGTATTCATAATAGCTCCAAAGTGGAAACTATTCAAATGCTCATCATACAGTAGAGATCGAAAAAGAAATCATGTTATAATCACACAATGAATACTACATAGAGAATGACCTACAACCACACACAATAATACAGAAGAATCTTGCACTTTTTTGCAGGTATGTTATACTTTGATATAAATACAGATTTTTCCTGATTATCAAAGTAATAAATACAGTGCTCCTAGTAAAAAACATTTTGAAAGTATAAAGAAAAAAATTAAAATCTCTTATACTCATGTCACTCAGAAATGATCAGTTAACATACTGATACACATCCTATTAGGCTTTTGTATGTATACAATGTGAATACTTACAAATACATATGAAAGATAACCTAAAAGATACATACTAAAATACTGACAGTCATTTTAAATTTTATGTTATATATTTATTTTTAGGTACCATAATATGAAATATTGCACATGCTGCTTTGTAAAATTTAAAAACCATGGACACCTTTCTATATCAATAAGTATAGATCTACACTATTTCATGTCTATATAATCACATATGGAGGTTATCAATTTATCCTGCCTTCTGTTAATGAACATTTTTCATTAAGTCTCTAATGAATGTACTTGCATACACGTCTGTTTGCTTCTGTCCCATTAGTTGGTAGTTCTACAAATCGACTTGTTGGCTCAACATACATATTGATAAATTGCCCTCCAGAAAATTTGTAACAATTTATTTTCCTACCAGCAGTATTATAAACACAGCTATAAACACCATCAATTAAAAAAAAAAATCTGTCCACTTGAGAGACAAATGATTTTTAGTTTTTTATTTTGTAATTCTTTGATATCTAATGAGACTAGACATTTTAAGTTTACTGGCTATTTCCTCCTTTGGTAAGTACATTTTTAATGTTTACTTGTGGTTTATAATACAAATAAAATCACAAAAAGACTTCTAAGGGAAAAAAATCTTGGAGTATAGCTCACTTAGAAAATTGTCATCTTTAAAAATTATTACACTAATGATAAGAGTCCTCGTTGCTGTGAATCCAGTTTTTATTTCCCATGATTTTTGTTAGAAACCCTTTGGAAGACTCTTGAATCTGATCAAAATAGCTTAATGATGCAAATAGGGAATATTCCCTTTGATTTTTTTTTAACAGAAGTTGTTAAACATGCCGTTTTTTTTTTTTTTAAAGATTTTATTCATTTATTCATGAGAGAGAGAGGCAGAGACACAGGCAGAGGGAGAAGCAGGCTCTATGCAGGGAGTCCGATGTGGGACTCGATCCTGGGACTCCAGGATCACGCCCTGGGCCAAAGGCAGGCGCCAAACCTCTGAGCCACCCAGGGATCCGCTACATAGGGGATCCTGTGTATCACTGTATTACATACATACCATGCCACTTTCCCTTGTAGACTGTCCCAAATGACCCGGATCCAATTCTCTGTCCCACTGTGATCTGCCCATCAGGTATCTCCCAATCATCACTTGAATCCCGTCTACCAAGTGTTTTCTTGATAATAATTGTGTAAAAGTCAAGCCAAAGCAAACAAAAAAAGAAGAGAGGAAAAAAAAATCACTATGTGGGAATGTTTTAAGCAAAAAACTATCAGCTCTTATATTTATTTCATTAAGTGAATACTGTGTCACATACTGACAAATTATATATATCATACAATCTAAAAGGTGATATTACATATAGCTATGATATGTAAAACAAAAGTACTAAAGAAGAAAAAAGATATTATATATCCTTACCATTCGATTCCTATCTTCTGAGGATGAAGATGATTTTCTTTCCCGCTGAGGTCCTGGAGATTTCTGTAATGCTTTTACATTAGTGAGTGAGCCAGGCAATGAGGCAGGGGGGGTGGCAGACAAACCTGTGGTTGATCCTAAATTAGTGAAATGAAAAATATATCTATTAAAGGAGGATCAAGTATATTAATTTATTGGGGCAGAGGGTGGGGAGAAATTTAAGACTTCTTTAAAAATGCAGTGTATGTTTAAATATACAGCGTTTAGAAATGAAAGGCCGAAAACGGCCTCATTTGGTGATTTGCACTATAATTTCTTTTAGTTTTCCGGTCAACTTAATGACTTTTAAAATATCAAGTTACAGATACAAACTTTACTGATTAGTACAGAGTCCAGAATAAAAATAATGCTTCTAAAATAAGAGAGGAATACTAAAACAATACTCCCAAGTTTTTGTTTCTTTGATTAAAGAAAGTGGAATCAATTTAAAAGCTTATATGTATTTAAAAAAAGCATGTAACTATTTTGTGTCACCTAAACAGCCAATCAATATAAAAACAGATGGAAACTCCCAAAAGTAAACATATAATAAAAATGGCTTTAATGTTAAGAATATCTGGCTCTATCATTTCAGCCACTAAAACTTTAAAAATCCTATTACTATTTAACTATATACTATTTAACAAATAGTTAGAAATATTGCTCAGTTCACTGGTTCCTGGTTTCCTATCCTACTAAACAAAAATTATTTATTACCTGTATAACAAAGTTAAAGTAAACAAAGCCAAGCAGGTTTCTCAAGACTTTCTGAAAAACTGCTACTCATATAAAGGAAGAGCAAAGTGCGTGTGTGTGTTATGGCCTCCTGTCAAGTTACTACAAATGGAAATATCCTATCAGCCAAGTGAGCCCAAAGTATACACTGAAAGTAGACTCAGTTGGCCGGGCTGCATACTTTTCCAAATGCTGACTAAGCAGAAATCCTAAATTCATTTACCTGATTTAGAAGGGTTCAAGCTAAGGACTCCTAGTATGGCCTGAGTATAGATAGCTAAGTAGAACTGAGATATCCAGTAATATCTGCATATACAACAAAAAGACCTCCAGAGAATCTTTGTTTTTTGGAAAGAAGATTACTATTTGGGGGTAGCTATCACTAATCTTTCAAAGAATAAGGATACAACTGTCTACATTTCAATGTTAAAACTGTATAGAATTTTATCATTAGTATATTACACATGTCATCATGTAGAATTTCCATGATCCAACATGCAATTTTCGAAAAGAAAATGGTATCTGGAATGTTTGTAACTAGAGCATAATCCATTTCTGATGATAACTTTCAACATTCTAAAGCCTGAACTGCTTGCTCAGGCTTCATAATCCTGAGGACTGCACTGTACTACTTACTTCAGTTACACTACTCAGCACCATAGGACTTCTAGCCCATTCTATGGATTTTATGAGAAACAGCCTGGCTGAAAGAGCAAAAACCTGAACCATCACCACTACATTCAGAGTAAGTAACAGTCACTAGCAAAACCCAGTAAATCCAATTCTTTAAATCTTTAAAAATCAGTTTAACTACTAATTAAAGTAAGGCAAGATAAAACGGGAGGGTGAAATTATACTGTTAGCTTTCCCCTTGTATTAGGGCATAATTGAGAGTGTCAATCCTCAAATTTTCTAAAGTGCGCTGAAGGACCCCAAATATATTACAAACCTTTTTTAAGGCTCCTTAACTTTGATATAATATAAAATGTACATGTCCTACATTTAAAAAACAACACTGCTATTACAGAAAAATAAAGCCAAAAGTCTAGCAAAATCTCGTAATTGTGATTTCCATTTTTAGTTTTTTAAAACCACACAAATTGGTAATAAATATTAATAGTCATGAAGGCTACCACCTAAATGGATTAAAATAAAAGTAATGCAGATTGAAGGACTACTCCCTCCATATATATATATATATATATAAGTTTATTGCCACCCACTGAGTTTAAGAAGTTATCAAGACCAAAAAGTAAGTCACATAACAGAAAACAAGATGGACATCTTAGCTTGGAATTTTCTTGCTTTTAAAAATTTACAACAGGATAGCATACAGAAAGCTTGTGGTAGTATGTGTGAGAAGCACATTCAGAGCATTCCAGCCAGGCCAAGCAGAAATTTAGTACTAAAAACTCTCACACTTACAAACACACACTGTGAGGGTGAGGCACAAACAGTATCTGTAGTTTATATTTAGTTTGCTTTGGGTAAAAACAAGAAAGAAGAGCCCAACTACCTCTGAACACTGGGCCAGGCTCAAAATCAAACACTATTTCACTGGGGACAGAATGTAGGAGGGGACTGGGAGTCCGGGATTGGCATTTCCGAAGACAGCGCATCAGGTGGTTCAAAGGGGCTGTTAGAAGAGAAAGAGAGGGGCAGGCAAACACAGGAAAACAGACACACAGAAGAACTGAAAGAAATCATGGGAGTAAATGAGCTGAAGCCTGCTTCACAAAATCATTCTGGATGTCAAAAAATTCTGCTTGTTTTCATAAAATCCTAATGACTTTTATAAAGTGACTCATAAAAAGGACAAGAAATGCCATTTGATTTTTGGTACTAAGCAGGCAGTTTTTATGACTAAGTTAACTCTGTGATGCTAACATGATGGCAACATTTAAATGCTGGATGTACTGGGCAAAATCATCAAAAGCCACAGTTATTAAGACATATGAAAGTCAAACTGGCAGCAACATTAATTGGCAGGTTTATGGAATAACAAATGGAAAAAAACCACAACTTTTTAAACTACATGCTACTGTGAATACTAAATCCAATATATAAGGTAGGGTTATCATTCTGGCAGGTTTACAAGTATACAGAAACATAACAAAAGACCGTTTTTACAATGTTTTTCAATATAAAATATCTTTAAGTCTGGGCTTAGATATTTTGAAGATAAAGCAGGTCACAGTGAAGAGACTAACTCTCAATAAGATAAATGGGTTTTGCATGTCTTCCTTATTAGACAGAGACAGCTTAAAAAGTAAGCATTCCTTCCATCTGGAAGGAATATTCAAGATAGTTTCAAATATCATTTCTGGGAAAACATTATATAGGGGTAATCTTACTTTAAAAGTACTTTCTTAAGCAATGCTTTATGTCCCCAATTTTCACAGAGTGCTAGAGTGAATATCTGATAAAAATTCTGTAAGAAATTTCAACTCAATTTTTCATTTACTTATTTAATTTACTGGACTATTAAGAGGACATAAAGGCTTTCTATTAGGGTCCATTCCAAATCCTTCTAGAAAGCCAATTCTAACAAACTGAAAATTTATGACAGGCAATCTAAGGGATTCTCCCTAAGAATGATTTAGGAAAATCAGGATTTAACTGATTCTAAGCACAATCATTAAATATTACTGGTACTGTGAAGACTCCTGGATTTAGCGTCTTGAGTTGTGGAGACAGGAATCCATAAAGCATGTAAAATAATTCAGGCTCTCTCTTTGATGATAACAGCCTTTTAAAATTATATAGTACAGGTAAGACTCCCTTTTATATCCTTTTTCTCTATTCATCTTATAAATCAGTTAAAATTTTATTAGACATAAATGATAAATAATAAGAAAACCAAAAAATATTTGGGGCTTTTCTCTATGCATTTTTCTCTGTGTCTGTGTTTCATGAAAGAAGCAAATATAAAGGAGACAAGCAGCAAAGCAAATGCATTTTTCTGAGTTTTTTTTTTTTAAATTGAAATCACTACTTACCTACATCACTACGAAACCCTTGGTCTCTAATCAAGTCCTACAAACAAACAGGAATGGATGTTTATTCAAAGCTTATGGTAAGAAAGTAATAACAACACTCAACTTTTCACTAGACATTAACAGAAAGGTTAATTCAAAATACCTATCTAGGGCAGCCAGGGTGGTTCAGCGGTTTAGTGCCGCCTTCAGCCCAGGGCCGGATTCTGGAGACCCGGGATCTAGTCCCACACTGGGCTCCCTGCATGGAGCCTGCTTTTCCCTCTGCCTGTGTCTCTGCCTCTCTCTCTGTGTCTCTCATGAATAAATAAAAAAAAATCTTAAAACAAAAAACAAAAAACAAAATACCTGTCTAATGATGATTTCACATTTTTATCATGTTTACCAGCATGATAAAACACGCTAAACATGTTAAACATGAAGAGATTATTAGTCCTGATCAAATATTGAAATTCCTATCAGCCCATTCAAAACCAATGGCTGCACCAATTCTTAAAAAAAAAAAAAATTCTGGCACATATTAAGAGCCATAAAATGTTCATACCCTTAGATCCTATAATTCCACTTCTGGGAATTATTCCTAAGGAAATAATTCCAAAGAAAAAAATGATATGCACAAAGATGTCCAGGGCAGCATTATCCATCATACTAACAATTATTTCCCTATTATAGACCTATTGACATTTGGGTTAAGTAAATTATGGTGCATCAATTTAATAAGTATTATTCAGCTACTGAAATAGCTAGGAAGCTTGTATTGGGAAACATATTTACAGTATGATAAAAAATAAAATTAAATGTACATTGATTACAATTATAAAAATACAGATGTATAAGGAATCACTAGAAGCAAAATCAAAATGGCTCAAACAAGAGTTTTGTTAAAATCTACCTTTATGATTCTTTTTACAATAGATAATATTGGGGAGTGGGGAGGGAAAAGTCTACTGGCAATAAGGCAATTTGGACCTTAATAGGTAGAACTTAGGTTTTTACCCAGTTTAACTTAAATATAAGGGACTGAATGGCCACAAATGTCTCTAATAACCACCTCACTAATTCTAGTACCCTGCTTATTTGGGGAAACAGTTTGAACTTCCATTTTATTTTATTTTATTTTAATTAATTAATTGATTGATTGATTGATTTTAACTCCTTCTTAATATAATTACTTTCCAAGGCAAACAAGCTTGGTGAGTTTCCTGTTTTGTTGCTTATTACAGAGATTAAGGATAAACTATACTCTTTATTTGAAAGCACAAATTCTGGGAGTAGGACACCTAATTCTAGATAGGGATTCCTAGCTCAGGTAGCAGAGCACATTATTCTCTTCTGTAGTTTAATTACCAGATTATTTTGTAAATAAAGTTTTACGGAAATAAAGTCACATCCATTTGTTTGTACTGTGTTCTCTCTGGCTGCCTTCACATTACAATGACAAAATTCAATAGCTGTCATTAGAAGTCATATGACCCATAAGTCTAAAATATCCTATCTGGCCCTTCAAGTTTGTGATCTTCGGTCTATAATATGGAAAATTTCCTATTTCTTCTTCTTCTTTTTTTTTTTTTTTTTTATTTACGATAGTCATACACAGAGAGAAAGAGAGAGGCAGAGACACAGGCAGAGGGAGAAGCAGGCTCCATGCACCGGGAGCCTGACGTGGGATTCGATCCCGGGTCTCTAGGATCGCGCCCTGGGCCAAAGGCAGGTGCCAAACCACTGCGCCACCCAGGGATCCCTCCTGTTTCTTCTTCTAACCTGTTTACTGAAACAAATATTTTTTGATGACCAACTATGTATTTCATTCTAAGATAGGTACCAAGTGAACTAATGTTAGGAATGGTTTCTGCTGGGGATCCCTGGGTGGCTCAGCAGTTTAGCGCCTGCCTTTGGCCAAGGCCATGATCCTAGAGTCCTGGGATCGAATCCCACATCAGGCTCCCTGCATGGAGCCTGCTTCTCCCTCTGCCTGTGTCTCTGCCTCTCTTTGTCTCTCATGAATAAATAAATAAAATCTTAAAAAAAAAAAAAAAAAAAAAGGAATGGTTTCTGCTGCCAAGAAGATCTAACTGAAGAAGCAACACTAAGGTACATAATTAAGTTACAGTGTGCAAAATAAACTGAAAAAGTAAAAACATCAAGAGTGACCAGCCAGGAGGTGGCTAAAATAATTGAAGAGATGAGATTACAATACAGGATGATTATATAAGATACATTTTTTTAAATGAATAAAACTTAATGAGAAACTTTACAAAAGAGAATATACAAAAATTCATGATATGTAGAAAGATGGAACACAGTGTTATAGTTGAAAAAGTAAGGAAGGTAAAAGGTAGTCTTGTACATAAATGATTGGTTGTTAAGAGTTATTTAGCTCAAAGTTCTACTTTTAGAAATCTAGATAAAGATTGAAAATCTTCTACTTTTTGAAATCTAGATAAAGATTTAAAATCTTTAAAGATAAAGATTGAAAACCTGCAACTGTATTCTTATTTACTATAAAATGGCCAAGGGATTATCTGTTAAATAAATGAACATAAGACTTGCAGAAAAAATGTCGTAAGGAAAAATATCAGAACAACTTCACAATTTGGCACCAGTTAAGTATTTAATACCAGAAGAGAAGATGACCAAGCTTTTCTGATCAGTAATTCAGGAAAAGTCTATCACTAATAATAGCTACGATACACAATTCTGATCTGTATTACAGATGTAGCAGAAAAATAAATACACTAAATTTTTTTTTTTTTTTTAGTTCTAATAATGCTGGATGCTTACATCAATGTTGACGGGTTCTATTGTGTTTATATGCACATTTGGAGCTGATGAGGACCGGTCTCGTTGTCCAAACTGATTTCGATGATCTTCATCTGCTGGTCGGAAAGGCTGTGGAATTGGAATGGATTTTGAAGGAGATGGACTGGTCAGAATTGGGGGCCTGGAAAAATCAAGTCATTGAAAAATAAGATTCAGGGCAACTTTATATAGATAATAACATTTAAAAAAGGATGATATAAAGATTTCCTTATAAAACATTAAAAACCCAGGAGTAACTGCGCTTAACAAACACTTAGTTTTTTAAGCATTCCAAAAAATCTTTATAGTGTCAATCTCTCATATTCAAAAATGTTTACCATGTCCAATAATTAAGCAACACAAGACAATCATATATTAAGCATTAAAGTAAATCTTTTTAAAAATTGCTTTTTGAGGGACGCCTGGGTGGCTCAGCAGTTGAGTGTCTGCCTTCGGCTTAGGTCGTGATCCCAGAGTCCCGGGATCAAGTCCTGCATCAGGCACCCTGCAGGGAGCCTGCTTCTCCCTCTGCCTATGTCCCTGCCTCTCTGTGTGTCTCTCATGAATAAATAAATAAATAAAAATTAAAAAAATATATATTGCTTTTTGATAAGATCATCAAGATAGGTGACAGAATGATCTATTTTGGTACTGTAGATAAATAATAAATTCTATGATGTCTTGCTGCACTGAAATGAACTGAGAACTCACAGAATACAATAAAGTTCTGCAAAAAGATTGTAAACCTCTGTGAGGAGTCTAATGCCCTCAGAAAGGATATCCAAGGGAAGTGGGAAGGGAGTATCACAGTAATAGAGGAAGTATGGTTATCTTGGTGAGCTCCATCAAGACCAATGAATGACACAGTGCTAACAGCCTCTCTAAAGAGATAGGTTATCATTCTACTCCATTTTATGCAAACTCTGTAATGATCTGTATTATTTAGTGGCTATTAAGACACACCCAGAAAGACAATTGTGGAGGGAATAAAAAGACATTTTGGGAGGGGACAGAGTTTAGAAAGGAATGGGAAGTAAATATAGTACAAAAAGGAATAGATGGAGGTTTGAAGACCAAAGAAGCCAAATAGTGACAAAAGGCTTTTTCTTTTTTTAAAGGTTTGCATAAAGCATGTTAACAAAATCTGAACCAGACCGGTTTATAGTTTTATTCTTTGAAGCATGCTCTAAACGGTAGGGAAAGAAATTTTGAGCTCATTTGTTCATATTAATGGAGTCCACTTAGAACTGAAATAAAAATAATACTATGTACTTTAAAAACTTAGTATCATACAATGAGAATTACAGGCTAAAACTGATGGACCTGGCCTTTAGAAAAATTACCACACTCCACTTGTTCTTTTTATTCTATTAATTATTGAAAAAATTTTAGTTTGTGAAAGAGCTATCTTTATTTTTGCTTTAGGCAGCCAATATATGCCTTTTGCTAAGGGATTTTGGGAACAGGTAAAAGAATGAAAAAATTACAAAAAAAATTGTTTTAAAGATTTTATTTATTCATGAGAGAAACAGAGAAGGGGGGGCAGAGACACAGAAAGAGGGAGAAGCAGGCTCCATGCAGGAAGCCCGATGTGGGACTCGATCCTGGGTCTCCAGGATCACGCCCTGGGCTGAAGATAGGTTGTAAACCACTGAGCCACCTGGGCTGCCTGACAAAATTGGTTTTAAAAAACGTTTTGGAAAATACATCTACTTTTAAAAAACTATAGGCTGATTTAAAGTCTCAAGTCAATAGCGTGATTTGAGTTAGGGCTTAGAAGTAGAAAAAGCTTGAATTAACTACAGTTGTATAGGGCAGTCTAATAAACACAATCAGTCTAGTACAGGCATAAGAGAAAGCAAGTCATTTTTGAAAGTTACTGAATTGGAGTATGATCGCAAAATGTAGTTTATAACAAAGCAGAACGTATATATTCAAAGGGCATTGGTCTAGAAGGAGGAAAAACAAAAACTGGGATTTGATATGATAAATTTTATTACCTAAAGAAATGAATGGATACTTAAGAAGTGAGGTTACACAAAATCAGAAAGACTGTATTTGGCAGTTGGTATCTACCATTACCCAGTAGAAGGCATCTGTTGGCCCATAAAGTCAATTTACCTAGACTTGACAGCAAGTATGTAACTTTGGAGAAAACTTTAAGTAATTATATCCTGGTGTCATAAAACATCTGAGTAATGTCCTAATCCCATGCTTAACAAAAGCAATCTTTAGATTATAATTTGGTTTCTCATAAATATCTTCTACAAGTAGACTGAGTGCTGGCTCATCCAACATAGGAACTTTGGTCTACAATAACAGCTCTATTTCTCTTGGAAATTAATTACCTGGAGTTCTGATTCAGTCTGTTCTAATTCTGGTCACTGTAAATCAGTATATCTCTAATAACTCTCATCATTTCTAGGGATTGATAAAATTCAGTTTCTTTTCTTTTCTTTTTTTTTTAAATTCAGTTTCCATACTGGGATGTATTTACCTGGACCAAGGCAGTTTATACCCTGTGAAGTATGTTGGGAGCCAGCAAACTGGGTTTCTCCTGATGATACCTCTACTTATCTTGCTGCAAACCTCTTTAAAACAGTATTAGATTAAAAATAAAAAGAATTTTACCTCTAATACCCTTTGGCAAATTACTAGTTAGTTTAGATCTAATTTTTAACCTAGAATACTAAAAGTTTTTTTTTTTTTTTTTTTTTTTTTTTTTTTTTTTTATTCATGAGAGACACATAGAGAGAGGCAGAGACATAGGCAGAGAAAGAAATAGGCTCTCTGCAGGGAGCCTGATGTGGGACTTGATCCCAGGACCCCAGGATCACGACCTGGGCCAAAGGCACATGCTCAATCATTGAGACATCCAGGTGCCTCTAGAATATTAAAAGTTTTTTTTAAAGAATATTGAGTTTGAAGCAAAGTGACTACTTCTGTTCAGCAGTATGGTAATTTTAAAATGTTGACTTTTCAGACATTCATACATTCCACAGCATTTTTAAAAAGCAGAAAAGGAGGTACCTCTAACTTTTGTTTGAAAATTAGTCAATGTATCACTTCCCCAATATGTCTTGGTTACATTCATTATTATATGCATTTCATGACCACTGTAATTGACCACTACAAACAAAATGCAAAGAAATAGCAGTACAGAATAAGACTGGCTTCCATCTTTTCATAGGCACATATAGACACATGACATAAAAGCATAAGGAAAACAAAAGTTTGAACATCTTTCTTAACATTTGCTCAAGACCAGAATGTACACTTCAGTTTAGTTATAAATAAAATACTCATGGCATAGGCAAATGGTTTTGCAATTTTAAGACAGCATCCCTTTAGTGGAAGGTAACTGTCCTGGATCATTACCATTATAAACCTTCAGAGAGACCAAGTTAATTTCATTGTGGTGTTCTGTAACTCTGCTCACAGAATTGGGACCTGCCATTAGAAAGGCATCATGGTCTACAGAACCTGTCAGGAGTAAATGCCATAGCCAAAAGATTAATTAAAAATCAAAACAAACAATTACAAGACTTTGAGCGCCTGCCTAAGAACGATCTAGGTGCATAAAACTAACAATAAAGACAGCAGGAATAAAAGGATTCCACCAGAGCAGGTAACTATTACAACCTGACCACTGCAGCCCCCACCCCAAATTTAATGGTTCCATTTTCTAGTGTTCCAAAGTAGATAAAAACATCTAGTCCTTAATACAAATCTTTTCTAGATTTTGTAGCCTATGAGACCTCTAGAAAGGTTGGTTTTGTAAAATTCGACATCTTGGAATTATCCATTTTTTTTTTCTGTCTCTAGGTGGAAAAGATAACATTACATTGTGAAGAGAGGAAGGAAGTAGAGTTCAAACTGACAATACATATTTCTGATCTTAACTAATTATCTCTGGAATATTATAGAACAGAATGCCATGTGAGGACATTTTTTTTAAAACCACGTGCTTCCAAATACAGCTTAATTTATTCTGCCTCAAATCCAAAAGGGAAAGAGTATGTAGACCTATGTAAGAAATTCTCCAAAACACTAATATCTGTTAAACTCATCATCTTTTTTTCCCTACTATGAAGCTTGAATATATGATGCCTTTGGATCATCTTTAAAGTCAGTTTTCTCCTTTATCCTCCACAACTAATTAACACTATAAATATTTTCTTTATACTTTATATATACCCATCCCTTCTCCACACTGCTACCATCCCAGTTCAAGTCTTTATTGCCTCTCATGGTCTTCACTATGAACAGCATCTGAATTGGCCTTCTTCACTCTAGATTATTTGTCCATTAATCTATCTGTATTATCACCGGTGAGTGCTTCTTTCTTCAAAACCATTTTCACCAAATTAGTCCTCTGCTCAAAAACTTTTACTCCCCCCACCTCTATTAAGTCTAAATTCCAACTTGAAACCCAACACTTTTCATAATCTGGTCTCATACGTGCTACGTCTCAACTTAGATTAGCCTCTGTTCACCACCTCTCAACTCTACCATTCCATTCCCTTTGTTTATGCTATTTCTCCCCTACCATCCCATCATTTATCACCATGCTTTTTATTCCCTGGGCTCATTAAAATTCTGAATTCTTGAAGGTCCAGTTCAAATCTTCATTAAATGTTATTAACTACTCTCACTATTCCCCGTCTATAGTAAACATGATACTATTTATGTCCTCACATTGTTTAAAATACCATGTCAGAATTTGCAAACTAATTATACACTATTTTTAAAATGTTTGCCATTGTCTCATGGGTCAATGCTACTTTTCTAAACAGGAATCATAAACTTTTATATTTGATATTACCTAATACAGTGATGAGCACAAGCCAGGGACTCTAAATATTACTTGACTTTTTTTAAGACTGGTCCAGAAGCAGTCTATGTTAGTTTTAATCTTAGGTATCTTACCAAATGGATGTACGTATTTGCCTATGGGATAAGTTACCCGAAGAAAAATTCTTAATTCAATAATCCAAGTGTTGGAAAGGTTTATAATTAACCAACAAATCCAAAAGAAACCAGCTCAAATAGCATTGTCATTGAACAGCAGGAGTCAAATCATACCCAGGAGAATCGGAGGGGGGAGCAGAAGGGGATGATCCAGACGTAAGGGCAGTCTCTGCTATGGAGGCCTCCTCCTGTGGTATTGGGTGGTGTTCAAAGAACTTGGAGACAAACAGCAAACTGTGAGGCAAAAACAAAAACAAAACAAAACAAACCTAACTTGTGCAAAACCCAGAAGCTGCATACACCAGAATACATATAGAGTTAAAAGAAATATTTGAGATCAAATTCCACTTTCAGAAATGATTGTTAAATTCAATTAGTTGTATTTTTGCCTAAAGGCTTATTTTTTAAAAATTACATTGTACTTTTTTAGAGGCAAGCTCATAATCTAAAACTAATTCTCTATATAGCAAATTTCTACATATTAGAGGGGGTAAATCATGCTTTATGGTTACGGAATTAGAAGAAAATTTATCTACCATCTCAGTTAGATGACGTCATTATAATATACTTCATAGAGTTAAATTCTCTTTGCTCAAGTGATCAAGAAAAGTTTTAAGACCTTAATAGCAGCAGCAGCAGCAGCAGCAGCAACAACAACAACAAAAGATTACAACAGACTCAGTCTTAACTCTTAGAGAAACTCTGGCATAAAGCAAATAGAAATTTTAGAAAGAGATACATTGGGCACAAAGATTTTATATCTTACTTTTAAATAAACTGGGCAGGGAAGGTTGAAGGAGAGAGAAAGAGAGAGAGAATATATATAATTTATAAAATAGTGACAGAACCAGAATCCCTGATCTGTGATCCAAAAATATAATGGTTAACTTAATTAAAATCACACCCATTCTCCTCCCAAAACCATCTAAAAATGATGTCTATGGGCAAGGGATCTTTATTAATTAAAAGAGGATATAAGACATAAGTGAAATGTATAGCTGAATCAGAATTACAGTTTGGGAGAGTAGTACTGGCTATACTACACAGTATTCTCTAGCCATCCTTTCTAAATTCTCTGTAATTCTACTGGACAGAAAATTCCCAGACCCTAAGATATGCTAGTTTTACATCAAGAAAAGTAAAATGTAGACAGAAAAGAGATTTTTTTTTTTTGATTACTTACTCAAGTTGGTCATAATTAACACACATCAGTGGAACCTCTGTACTACAACGCTGGTGAAATTTATAACCACATGTTTGACAGCGAAAACCCTGGAAAAGCAGCTTTCGACAAAAGTCACAAAATGCTAAGGTGAAAAAAGTTTTCCGTACCTGCAAAGTAGAAAACATCATAGAGAATTTCAAAAACTTGCAAGAATCTTTTTAGAAATCAACTTATTTACTCTCCTGCTTAAAATAACAAATCTTTAATTATGTTCATATCACAAGAACCGTTTTACACACTAAGATACTAATATGAAAACCAGGGGGTTCAAGACAATAGACTATATGTTTTTACCTCCCACCTAATATACGATTAAAAAAGAAGTAAAAAAGATGGGAAGTTGATAAAAAACTGGAAACTATTTTCAAGCTTGATTCCATGAAAGTTAAAGAGATGATAAACAGAAGAAGGGAATAGGAGTGAACGGAAGGTAAGGGCACACTTTAACAACTGCACAAGGAAAGGAGTTAAGAAATGCTTACTGGTGTTGACAGAACAAGAAACAATGGTATATTATTTAAAGTTACAAAGGTATCCAATACAGGAACCTGCCCAAAAACCAAACCAACAACAACAACAAAAAAAACCCAAAAATCACCTGAAGGAGGGGAAGGGGGAAGAAGAAAGATTGTAATGCTACAAATGAGCTAATTTCCTTTGGTAACAGAAGTTACCAAAAGGTAAATGGTAACAGCAGTTGATAAAGCAAGGAACTGTAGCTTAAAGTTACTATATGGTAATAATGAGATAATCACCAAAGAGCTTTAAAACAGAAATTAACTAGGATAAGGGACAGGAAAATCAATAAGAACACCTTTTACAAATTATCAGTTTGTTAGAGGATCCAAACATCTAAATTTGTGAACATTCCTTTACAAGAAACTTAAAAGGCACCATGGAAGAACCCTAGGTCAGAAGGCAAATGATACTACTCAGGGGTTACACTGGGGGGGAAAAAAAAACAAAAACATGTTAGGGAGGCTCCATCGTGGTAACTACTGAAGCCAGAAATTATTTTTAGAGTATTTGTTTTGAATAAGCAGAAAACATAAGAAAAATACCAAAATGTTAACAGTGGCTATTTCAGAGTGGTTAGGGCACAGGTGACTCTATTTTGTCCTTTGTCTTTGCTGTGTATATTCTCAATTCATTTCTGTTTCCCAGACAGTTTAAATCATGAACAATAGTAAGAAATACGTTATATTATGACCGAGAACATACCTATATTCATTTAACAGTATCTCGAATACAATGTACACCAGGACTTTCTATTATATGCCATTGCTCTCATGATTCGTTAGGTTGATTTCAATAGCCACAACTTACCAAACTCTTTACAATAAACATGCATTTAACAGGATAAAAAGTTATTTAAAAATAATGTCGCATCAAGAAAATGGTATCTTGGCACATCATGCTTTTTAGCTTTTTGAGAACATTCAGGTAATTTTTAAAAGTGGCTCTTGTTTTCTTCACCTTTTGGTTTATGTATCACTTTCTAGAGGACATAAAAGCCAAATTCCTTGTTTTTTAGCTTTGTGGCTTTTCCGTTTGTCTTTGGACATACAAGATAGTAGAGTAATTTAACATTTATGTGGCCGGTATTTGCCAAAGCAAGCATTTTTTACATTTCTCAGAGAATCTCAGAAAATAGAGCACAGAAAAATACAAAACATGTTCACAAGAATCAGCATTTATCATCACTTGATTCTCTTTGCTAACTAACCCTTTCTCACTCACCTAATAATCTGCTGAGTTTCATGAAGCTCTAATTTCTCTTTTCATTCATCTACTCACTTGCAGTCTTTCTTCCTGCTACTGACTTCTAAAACTCTACGTACCAGACTGTTTGTGTATGTAAAGGAGGAAAAAAACAAAACAAACAAACAAAAAAACCCAGAGAGTGCAGGAGGGGAAGAGAGAAGAAAACAGAGAGGAGTGGAAATGAGGAGAAGCAAATGTGCGAATGCATTTGAGAATAAATTGTGACATATAATTGTTTCTGGGAATATATCTTTGTCAATACAAGTGAGTACAGGAAGGTATACGTTCTTGTTTTTCTGCTTTTCCTGCTGCCTTCACCCTGCCAGTTCCCAGGGACTCCTGGAATGTAGGCAAATATCTAAGGAACTGCTTTTAATAATGGACTCTAGGAAACTGGGAGACATAAGCAGCATTTCTGAAGGAGCCAGCAAAACGCAGCAGAGAAAGAGAGAAGCTCTCTCCCTTTCTTAAGCAGAACACGTGCATTTACTCTTGCCTCTACATGACACTCAGAGCAACTGTTCTAAGACACAAATCCAATCACGTCTCTCCTGCTTACAATTAATTTCCAATTTTTTAAAGAGAAGTCCAAATCTTTAACAAGCCTTACAAAAACTTCTAGGAGCTGGATTCTTCTTATTCTAACCATAATTCCTGCTACACTAAAACAATCTCCTCTACAACTTTATACCATCCCCCCTGACCCTCTTTCAAAACTGAAAAGTAGTCCGCGCTTTCTGTTTCCTCTGTTGAGTACTCTTCTCTTCACTCCATCTGCTATTCCCTCATCCATCAGGCCTTAGCTTAGAGAGTTCTTCCTTTGGGAAAACTTCCTGACTCCTCCAAGCCCAGGTTAGGAGTTTCTACTCTGTGCATCTACTGTACTTTATACATACACAGTAATTAAGAGTGTTTATGAAATGTTCTTATCAAAACATCTGTCTCTCTACTCTAAGGCAGGGATATTGTTTTTCTTATTCATTGTTATAGTCCCAGATCAGACAGTGTTGGCAAATGGAAAGTTCTTAATAAATATTTACTGGCAGGTCTCCAACTGTGTTGTGAGGATTTCCATACTCTGGAACTAGGCTGCAGCTTGTTTTCATTATCCTCTTGTGGCAAGGACCTTCCTGAGGCACTACTCTAACACCATTTTGTGGTTAACAACTTAGGTTTTCTTACCTCCTTTTAACTACTTTTCAGCCAAGAAAAATAGTAATCTTCATGAAATGTAAGCTCTACCATTTTTGGATTTCTAAAAACTTAAAATTATCTTCAGATTTATCCACTTGAAATTCTACAAATTAAAAAAATCTATAGTAATGAACTTGCTGGGTCATTATTTCAAAACTATCTGCTACATAGTAAATCTGATTGACAACACTCACTGAAAAGATGCCTTACTGAAGCACAAATTATTCACCATTATTCACCACTAATGGAGCACTGAAAGCACAAACCCCCAAGGAAATCAGCTCATTATTCATCTGCTTTAGGAGTCCAGCTGTACTGATCACCAAAACACACGGGAGAGCACCTGATGCCAAAAGGGTAGCAATAACTATCCATCTAGAAAAAATAAACTATGCTCAAAATTCCATATATGATAGAAAGTAAGAAATGCATTCCTGTCTTCTAGATCATTCTACTCCTGGCTTCTGCAGGTTCTCAAGCTCTGGGCACTATACTCCCATCACTAAGGTAAAGATGACCCTTATTCCAGTTATCATGCTGGTGACACTTAGCCTAGGCTAGGTTCCAGCAAATGCAAAAACCAGATGAAGGAGGAGGTCCTCATGGAGAGTTATTTCACTTCCATTAACTCATCCTTCAGAAACACTTACACAAGTGTATTATGATGAATGCAAGATTCTGTTTAGTCCTTCGTACAAGAGAGATTTTTTTTTAAAAACTTAGATGTCTATATTAGTAGAGGATGGTTAAATATATTGAATTTATGTTCTTATGGACTATTATGCAATCTCTGTAAATATGAAACCAGGTGTACTGACGTGGAAAGATGTCCATGATACACTGTTCATTTTTTTCTTTTTTTAAAGATGAAGACTATCACACAGAACAGGAATGTTCTTTTTTAGTTTAAGGAAAGAAATGGAAATTAAAGGAAGGGAGGAAAAAAGAGAATGGAGAGAGCTTTTGGCTCCTGGGTATAAGCACACATTTGTATAAGTAGAAGGAGTTTGAAAGACTACACTTGATATACTTTTGTACTATTCAGATTATCTATTCAGTTCCTTTCATTGAAAAACATATATTGTTTTTTTCAAATTAAGAAGAAAATAAAACTCTTTATTTAAATATAAGCTTTTTAAAGAACAGAATGGATTTTCAACTTAGGTAAAATACCAACCCCAAAATTATTCATCCATATTTCATATTCCCTAAGTAAAAATTCATGTGCAAGAACTTGTACATTTTTGACATTTGGAAAAAATGTAAAAGTACATACAAAGTTGTGTGTGGTAAGCGGAACATTTTCCAACACTTCTACATGCAATTCCTCTCCAGTGAGCCAGGAAATATCAGTGTCCCAGCCAATCGGTTTCTTCTCTCTGAAAAGTGTAGACACAGCCTTTCTTGGTTATCACACCTAAAAATCTTCATATACCTCATGCTGAAGACATGAAAATTGGTTATTGAGGGGCTAGTAATGGTGAGGGAGGTTTGGCTCCCTAGTCTTCCATCGTTAGAAATTTAAATGGCAATAAATTAATTTTTAAGTTTACCCCAAATAAATGTATCACTCTTGGACAAACAGCAGGGTAAAGAGATGTACTCTTTTCTTCAAGCCAGCTCCAGAAAAGACCTACAACAGCAGAAAATTGATTGTTCCTAAGGTCCCCCCTCCAAAAAAAAAAAAAAAAAAAAAAAAAAAGAATCACAGCTACGGATTTATCTATCCATTAAAAAAAAAAAAAAAAAAAGAGAGTACTCAAGGGACAACAATATCCAAAAGGATATTTTTTTTAAAAACAGGATTCAAAATTTGGGGGGTCCTGGCACAATTTTAGATACTTTTCTGAAAGAAAAATAGCTTAAAATATTAATTTTGATAAGCCTTTTGTGAAACTATGAGTTTATATTAAAAATATGGGCGTGGGGGAAGAGTCCATTATTCAAATAAGCCACATTTTAAATGGTTCAAAAATTGTAAGAATCTCAGACTCCAAATAGTCATTTCATCAGAATAACACTATCATCACACAAAATACCTAATGTTAACTCCTCAAAAGGCCTACAAGGTTTTCTTTAGGCTAACTTAATATATTTTTCTGAAGTTAAATTTCAATACCTTGGGTTTGGGTAAAGATGCTACAGAAAACCCAAATTTTAAGGTCTGAGGGTTTTTTTTTCCTTTTTAAACAAAATTTCACATCACATACAAACCATACCCATCCTGAATTCTGTAAACAGCACAGCACTCCGGGATTAGACCTCTCATCATCAGAGCTTTCTTTAGACTGTCCCGGACTGTAACTCCACATCTTGCGGGTACCTATGGTATCATATATATATATATACACACATATATATATATATAATATGAGATAAAGGGAATAAATTATATATTTTTCCACAACATTTAAAAAAGGTCAACACTTTACAATACCTTTAAAATGTCATATGATCACCCTGTCAGATAATAACATCATTTGTAAAGCTAACTTGATACTTAAGGAAAATTATGACTGAAATATCTATTATTCACCTACTTAAAGCAAAATTGATTTTGCTTATTAAAATTATGAAATATTTTAACATATAAAAAGACGACTGGTTCCTATATACCCACCATTAAGAATTAACATGTCAACATTTAAAGCAAAATCAATTTAAAAATTTTTTAAATTTGAATATAGTTGACACACATCGTATCAGTTTCAGGTATACAACATGATACAACTTCTCTATACAATACTCTATGCTCACAAGTATAGCTAGTATCTGTCACCATATAACACTATAATATCACTGATTACACTCCCTTTGCCTTTCATCCTTATGACTTATTAATTCCAAAACTGGAAGCCCACGTCTACTACTTCCCTTCATCCATTTTGCCTATCCCTCTATTCTCTTCCCTTCTGGGGAATAGAATATCCCTAGTTTGATCTCTGTAGCTGTAGGTCGGATTCTGTTTTTTGTTTGTTTTTCTACTTTTATTTTTCTGAGGAAGTTCCATACTGTTTTCCAGTGACTGTGCCAATTTGTAGTCTCATCAATAGCATATGGTAACTCTTTTTTCTCTACATTCTATATCCTCGCTGACACTTCTTTTTGATTTTAGCGATTCTGACCAGCGTAAGGCGTTATCTTATTGTTTTTCTTTTTCTTTTTTTATAGGTTTCATTTTTAAGTAATCTCTGCACCCAATGTGGGGCTCAAAGTTACAATCCCAAGATCAAGAGTTGCATACCCAGGGCACCTGGGTGGCTCAGTGGTTGAGCATTTACTTTCAGCTCAGGTCATGATCCCAGGGTCCTGGGACCAAGCCTCGCACTGGGCTCCCCCCGGGGAGTCCTGTTTCTCCCTCTGCTTGTGTTCTCTGCCTCTCTGTGTCTCCCATGAATAAATGAATTTTAAAAATCTTAAAAAAAAAAAAAAAAGTCACATACTCTACTGACTAAGCCAGCCAGGCAACCCTCACTGTGGTTTTGATTTGCATTTTCCTAACGATTAGCAATGTTGAACATCTTTTCCTGTGTCTGTTGGCCATCTGTAGGTCTACTTTGGAAAAATATCTATTCAGGTCCTCTGCCTAATTTTTAATTAGATTACTTGGAATTTTTGGTGTCGAGCTGTATGTTCTTTATGTATTGTGAATATTAACCCCTTATCAGACATATCATTTGCAAATTATCTTCTCTTACTTCAGTAGGTTGCCTTGTTCCTTTTGTTGTGTAAAAGCCTTTTATTTTGGTATAGTCCCAATAATTTTTGCTTTTGTTTTTCTTGAGGAGGAAGAACTAGATCAGCTAAGGAGATATCAAATATGTTTGATGAAATGATGATATGAAAACTATGTTTTCTTCTAGGAGTTTTATGGTTTCAGGCATTATATTTAGGTCTTCAATCCATTTTGAATTTATTTTTGTATATGGTATAAGAAAGTGGTCCAGTTTCATTGTTTTGCATATAGCTGTTCAGTTTTCCCAACACCATTTATTAAAGAGACTGTCTTTTCCCCATTGTTCATTCTTGCATCCTTTGTCATAGGTTAATTTACCATATAAACATGGGCTTATAGCTAGGCTCTCTATTCTGTTCCATTGATCTACATGTCTATTTTTTTTTTAAAGATTTCATTTATTTATTCATGAGAGACATGGAGACAGAGAGAGAGAGAGAGAGAGAGGCAGAGACACAGGCAGAGGGAGAAGCAGCCTCCATGCAGGGAGCCCGATGTGGGACTCAATCCCGGGTCTCCAAGATCACACCCTGGGCTGAAGGCGGCACTAAACCACTAAGCCACCGGGGCTGCCCTACGTGTCTATTTTTGTGCCAGTACTACATACATGGTATGATTACTACAGCTTTACAGTACATCTTGAATTCTAGAATTTGATTCTTCAGCTTTGTTCTTCCTTCTCAAGATTTTTTTTTTTTAGCTATTTGGGGATCTTCCGTGGTTTTGTATAAATTTTAGGATTATTTGTTCCACTTCTGTGAAAAATGTTGTTTGTATTTTGATAGGCTCTGCTACTTATACTTTGCATACTTTATGCAAAAACTTCTTGATTAGCAACCCTATCTTTATTTATTTTTTTAAAGATTTTATTTATTTATGATAGTCACAGAGAGAGAGAGAGAGAGAGGCAGAGACACAGGCAGAGGGAGAAGCAGGCTCCATGCAGGGAGCCCAACGTGGGACTAGATCCCAGGTCTCCAAGATCACACCCTGGGCCAAAGGCAGGCGCCAAACCGCTGCGCCACCCAGGGATCCCAGCAACCCTATCTTTAGTTTTAAACCTTATTCCATGTAACCAGAGGAATCTTTCTAAAAAAGGTATTTTTAACTTGTATGTGTATGTCAAAGACTTCTAAGAATTTGGAGTGCCTGGGAGGGCTCAGTCAGTTAAGCTTCTGACTCTTTTGACTCAGGTCATGATCTCAAGGTCGTAAGATTGAGCCCTGAACATTGGGCTCCACACTGGGCATGGAGCCTGCTTAAGAGTCTCTCCTGACATGATACTCTATGTGGAAAACCCAAAAGACTCTACCCTAAAATTGCTAGAACTTGCACAGGAATTCAGCAAAGTGGCAGGACATAAAGCCAATGCCCAGAAGTTAGCTGCATTTCTATACACTAACAATGAGATGGAAGAAAAAGAAAATAAGCAATCAATCCCATTTACAATTGCACCAAAATCCATTAGATACCTGGGAATAAACCTAACCAAAGAGGCAAATGAATTGTACTGAAAACTATAGGACACTTAGAAATAGAGGATTGCACAAAGAAATAGAAAAACGTTCCATGCTCATTGACGTCTGGGTGGCTCAGGGGTTGAGTGTCTGTCTGCCTTTGGCTCAGGGCGTGATCCCGGAGTCCCAGGATCGAGTCCCACAGCAGGCTCTCTGCATGAAGCCTGCTTCTTCTTCTGCCTGTGTCTCTGCTTCTCTTTCTGTGTGTGTCTCTCATGAATAAATAAATAAAATCTTTCAAAAAAGTTAATTTCATTTAAATAAAAAAATTTAAAAAGATTCTCTCTCCTCCCTCTGCCCCTCCCCCACCTAAAAAAAAAGACTTCTGAGATTCCGGTCTTAGATGCTCTGACACATAAAATTTCAGGGGTTCATAGAACCTGAAGCTCATGTATGGACTGTTGAGAAGCCCACTGAATTCAGATTTAGAACTTCATTCTAAAATGTAATTTTAGGGGATCCCCGGGTGGCTCAGCAGTTTAACGCCTGCCTTCAGCCCAGGGTGTGATCCTGGAGTTCCAGGATCGAGTCCCACATCAGGCTCCCTGCATGGAGCCTGCTTCCTCCTCTGCCTATGTCTCTGCCTCTCTCTCTCTCTCATGAATAAATAAAATCTTTTAAAAAATGTAATTTTATATTTCATTAGTCTGCTCCAATTTTTCATAATTTATAGGGCAAAATTCAAGTTCCTACAATTTTCCAGTTCTTATAGGGGAAATTTTAAATACCATAACAAGGCATATAAGGTTACAAGTGAACCATGGCTATCTAGTACCCCTTAGTTCCTTTGGTAATTTCCCTTATGCAATCCTGTCATGTATCTACTAATTACGCTTAATTCCAAAGGGTATGTATATTTCATCAGCAGGCAAAAATATGCCTTTCCACTCTTAGCAATAAGGGAAAGTGATAAGTCTTTCATTTTACTACTGTAGGCTGATTTTTTTGTAACTATTTGCTCCTTAATTGATAGAGCCAGTTCAACAGGCTGACAGACTAATGGAACAGAAAAGACAAAAACAGACTCTAATACATAAAGGAAATTAGAATAAAATTAAGGCAGCATCTGAAATAGGGTAAAGATGTCCATACTGAGACAACTGGAACCAATCTAGTTAAAAAGTTCATCTGTATTTCATACTGTAGACTAGGGAAAACTCCAAATAAGTAAAAAATTTAAATGTTGAAAAAAGGAAGGAAGAGACAAACCATAAAATACTGGAAGAAAACATGGCAAAATCCTTTATAACCTCTAGTTGAGAAGGCCTTTATAACTATGATGCAAAATCTGCCATAAAAGAAAAAATGTTAAGTTCAACTGCATAAAACTAAAAATCTTTTAGATGGCAAAACAAATTATAAGCAGTCTAAAGACATATACAAACTATGAAAAATATATTTGTAACTTATGAGCAAAGTCAAAAGACAAAAGCAAACTGATAAAAAATATCTGCAACTCCTATAACATGCATGTAATCTTCCTAATATATAAAGAGCTAAAAATATGAGATAAAGACCAACAACCCAATAGAAAAATGGGAAAGGACATGAAAGTTCAAACATGAAAAGATGTTCAGTATCACTAGGAGTAAAGTAAACTCAAACTTGCCAAAATATTTTTTTTTAATTATCAGACTGGCAAAAATCCAAAAGCTTGACAACATGTTCTATCATATTAGGCTATGGTAAACAGGCATCTCATATATTGCAGGTAGCAATGCAAAATTAAGCAAGACCTATAAAGCAAAAAAATATTTTTTTTTAAAGATTTATTCATGAGAAAGAGACACACACACACACAGAGAGGCAGAGACATAGGCAGAGGAAGAAGCAGGCTTCCCACAGGGAGACTGATGCGGAACTTGATCCTGGATCCCAGGACTATGCCCTAAGCCAGCCAAAGGCAGATGCTCAACTGCAGAGCCACCCAGGCATCCCTCAAAATTGCAAATTATCTATTATTAAAATTACATATATAAATTTCCTTTTGATCCAGGCAAGCACACTTTTTGGTATAACTATAGTATTCTGATAAACCTCTATACACTGAAATCTATAGCTGTAAAAAAA